GCGGACGTGCAGGTCCCCCGGGGGCACGGGGGGTGCTGGGCACCTGGGGACTGGGAGCCGCCGGTGCCAGCGGCGCCGGAACCTGCCGCAGGAGCTTGAGAGGGGTTTGCACGGCAGCCGAGTAAGAGCATGCTTTGGGGGTGCCGTCAGAAAGTTATCACCTAAGTGGGTTTCTCCTTCAGTTAATTCGGAATTTTTCATGCTCAAGAGCTTTAGAGGTAGACTGAAGAGAAGGATATCTCACAGAGGCTCCGAATAACCGCCTGGGCCACATCCAAAGGAGCAGTTTGTTCAGCCCTGAAGCGTATTTAAGAACAACATAATCCAGCACAAGCAGCTGCAGATGAAAACAAGTCTGAATTTCTAAATTTGGAGCCTGCTTCTTAGCATCTGATCCAAAGAACTTACTCATAGTCTCCCACCTCCTATTGTGAAACAGTTGCATCTTAATTAATTTTATCTTAATTTCATTACATTCTGTTGACAGTAGTTTCGTAAATGTCATCTTCATCTTCTTCAGCAATATATCTCAGCTTCAGTCAGTTAGTCACTGCATGCAGGATGAAGGAAGCCTAGTGGTGGTGCGAATAAAAACTCTGTGTCCAGATGGTACCCGCTGTTACTGCTCCCTTGGCAGGGGAGACCTCAGGCTTGATCCTCCGTCCAGTCCTGCCTGTTTTATGAGAATGCCAATGGGAATCCCCAGGACATAAGAGAGAGCAGGAGCTCAATTTTTAGAGGAGTTATGTTGCCTAAATATTTTTTGCGAAGCTCATGGGCAGGTAAACCAGAGAGCTATAGGGAGTAACTTGCGACAGTAAAGATGATCTTAAGTTGCCAGAAAAGCCCAAGGTATGATTTTGACACTTTCAGTGGGGGAAGTATTAGATCCACGATACTATTTATCTATCAACTTTGGAGTAATTCTGTTTATTAACCCTGTATGCACTTGCAAGATAGAAGGCTTAAGACTAAATGTTGCATCAAAGTCACAGAGAATTAGGCTTCTTTGAAAACCTCTGAAAATATCTTCAAAGGTACTTCATCATTTTGAACTGCCTTAATTCCATTAAAACCTGTTCCAAATGCAGAGTGCGACTGTGGTGCCATATGAATAATGCTGCTGTTCCAATGATACTCTACCCTTAGGAATCTTGAATTCCTTGAACTCTTGAATTCTTGAATGCCTTGCCTTTTAGGCAGCTTCTGTGACTATCAGCACTGGGCTTGCAAGGCCATTTCGATTCCTAATCTGAAAATTACTCTGTGTCCTGTTGGGTTTATATAAAAGTCTGCCTTGTGGGTGATGGTGGTATCAGAAACAAGGGATTATGACTTTTTAATGCAATTACACTGGAGCTGAAGCAGAGCCATGAAGGAGAATGAACTTTTATTCAAACGTCTGTCAGATGTGACATAGTCCAGGAGAGATAAAATTAAGATTGAATTATTTTGCTCTCTGATGTTATGCTACCACTGCATTCTTGAATTACATTGCAAAATTACTCTGGACAACAGTGCATCATCACAGGAGGATGAAGACACATCTCTTTTCCCTTATGTCACCCCATGATTGAATTTAGGAAACATGGGAAAAGGCTTTGCATTTCAAGATTTTCTGTCACGAGGGGATCATGTTTTACCTGTTCTTTTTTTTTTTTTTAGCGTACTATAGTGTTGAGTCTTCTACCGTTTTCTTTTTTATAATCTCAAACCAACATTTATCCATAAACATGGTGTATTCGTAATTCCAAAATATTTCTGAGCATTAGTATACAGTGATCTCTAGGGTGTTGTGGTTTCATGTCTGTTAAAAGCCTTCAGTAAACCAGAACTAACTGCACATTTAACTCTGGGAGCACTTAATGGCAGATGTGTATTCTTCAGATCAAGTGTATCTCTGCATGCTACCGGAACAGTCAGCGGTGGCATGAATTTCTGGGCTGAACACTGAAGTGTAAATCCAAGCCCTTCACTTTATACCCAGTTTGTGCTGGTTTAGCTGTGGGTTTCCTTTGCGCTCCCAGGCAGTTTGGGCTGGCTTAACAATGAAACCCCATATGCCTATACTGAAAGAAGAGGTAATCCTTTTTTGCCTTCATTAGGTAAATTTTTAGATTTTTGACACAGAAAGAAAGAGGATTTCAGTGCCTCACCAGAAATGTCTGACTTCCCTTCTGTGATACTCACTAGTGGTGAACAATAGAGGATTCAACACAAAGGTAAAGTGATATCAAAGAAATTCAGGACTCAGTAGTAAAAGTCCCTTTTATAACAAAGCCTTCATTCAGACAACTGGCTGGTAGCTTAATTATTGGCAGGCCAAGTCTGTATAAAGGATGGAGGAAGCAGAACAAATTAAGCGTGTTGTGTTCCCCTCTACGAAAAATGGGTTGCTCGTAAAGTTGCAGCCCCTTCTCTAGAAAGCAGCCAGCTCCAGCATCTCAGAGTGTTGATCTGGTATATCAGTTTCATATTGCTTATTTCCACTCATTCTAAATAATAATTAGAAATGGGAGTTAAAAATGCTTTATGAGCTTGATTTTTCTGCTAACCTGTGGCTGATAGTCCTTCACTCCTGTGAGCAGTGGTTGTAAGTGACTCCTGAGTATGCCTCCTTGCTTTTTTATGCTGGCTTCATAGGAGCTTGTATTCCCCAGATTTGGAGGTGTTTCGCTCTCTAAGGAAAATGTATTCCATTGCTTAAAGCTTTGCTGTGGGAAAAGTCTTTAGCTCAATAGGCTGTCTCCTCCCATGACAGATGTCTCTCTCAGGACAGTTTTTTCTTCACAAGGGCAAGAGACAAGCTGGTTTGCCATTGATTTACCTTTCTGAGGATGTTCTGGTGTCTTAGAAGCAAAGGCATGGTGCCTCCATCCTTTGGGACCAGAGGCCTGAGAGGGGTCCTTCACTTACCTTTAGGAAAGAGCTGGCATGAATTTCTGTGACCTGCCCCAACGTGAAGCGGACCTGCCGCTGCCACTCGGGCTGCTGGAGTACACAGTTATTCCAGGAAGAGAAAATCCTTATTGGTTAGGGCCCAGGGGAAGTGGGGCTTCTCTCTGCCCCTTGCAGAGCATTGATTGAGTCATTTAAACCAGACAGGTGACATGAAACCACTTTCCAAGGTACAAGTGGAAGAATGGGCTGTGCTGTTTTAGGCCCAGGTTGGTCTCTTTTTGTCAGTGATCAGTAAACAATCATGTGAAGACTGTATGTAACTCATATATATAAAATAAAAGTTGCCCTGGCACCATAATGATGGTGTTTATTAACAATGAGTATTTTTTTTTGCACCTAAATGTTGCTTTTTAAAGAGTTGGGTTTGAGAACTGAGTGTATCCAAACTACGCAAAGCTTCCTGTGCCAGCTGGATGAGCAAGAACTGTTTCATACTTTCTATTATTAGACCCTGTTTTCAGTTACTTGTATGTTTTCCTAACTTAAGACATTTGCCATGAAATTTCCTGTGCCTTACCTACTTCTAAGAAAAACAAGAAATGTTTGCTGTTTAGACAGTGATAAAAAATTATCCCACTGCTCAGATGAGCTCCATGCCTTCTTGAAACTGGAGAGGAGCCCGAGCAAGGGAGAACCCCTGCAGTGATGGGGAAGCACCTTTTCTTCCCTTGTGCAGCTCTGCCCACACTGGGTGAAGTTACAGCCTTGTGTTCAGGAGATGCTGTTCTGAGCTTAACGTCAGTATCCTTTTCAGGATATCCTTTGCAGAGGTCAACAGCAGAAAGAGTGCTGGGATCATCCCATGTCCAGAAGAGGAATGAAACCTGTGCAGGGAACTGCAGAAAGATACGATCCTGTGGATAAAGTTGTCAAATGCTGGCTTGTAGAACCAGATTTTATCCCTTTCTCTTTCCTGCTCTGCCTGAAGGTTGCAGAGCAAATGACTTAAAGCACTTCTCCCAGGCCATGTCGCTTAATGCACCATGGGTGTTGTTAGTCTAACCTGAAAAACTTGGGGTCTGATTGGCAGTACTTAGTACTCACTATTTTAATCAATAAGAATTGTACTTTGAATATGGCAAAATGCTACAAATCCTAAATAGCCTGAAAATCAAGCTTTGAATGTCTTAAATTAGGCACTTGAAATCAACAGTTATTTCTGATAATTTTTAATCATTATGCTACCGTGCACTGCTTCATCAGGATGCCGGCTTATGTTAAATAAGTCATTCACTCTTGTAATGACGTATTATGAAAAGAGACTGAAAGCATATTAAGTTATGCAGGGTGCTAAAAAAGTGTGCAGTAACTGCCATCTGAATATGTTTGTGGTTCGTATTTCATTTCATTTCCTTAGTTCAGATTAAAAAAACCACACTGATGCTAACAGTCCTGTTGTATTAGTGAAACAGCCGTGTTTTCCCTGCAGTGTACTTCTAATGCAGCAGTTGTTTCCTGAAGACACCACTGAATATGGAAGAGTTATCTAAAATTTAAGTAGATACTCCTTCGCTTAACAAAACATGCTCTAATGAACGTGTCCTGTCTTCCTGGAAGTTGCACAGTGGTGAATCAACAACTTAGCCAAGAAAAAACGTTTTATATAAATAATCACCCAGATTCCCCTGATAAATAACTGAGCTTCTCTTTTTATTGAAGAAGAATACGACGAGCCTCCACAGTGCAAGGCGGGACAAGATGTTGTGCTGCAGTCACCTGTCGACTGGGTGCTTTTGGATGGCCGAGAAAGTTCAGATGACCGTGGAATTGTACAGTACGAGTGGACCCTGCTGCAGGGTGACTCCTCGGTGGAAATGAAGGTACACACGCAATCTCGCACACAGCCAGTTGCTTGCAGATTGTTGTGTTCGTTATAGCACAGTTTTAAATGTAGAGCTAAAAATATTTAATGTATTCAAATAGTAGGGCTAAAAGGCACCAAATTAGGATGATTGTACAACTTGAGCATTTATTTCACAGAAATATAGAGCATCCCAGGTTGGAAGGGACCTCAGAAGATAAATTGGTCCAACATTTTTTGGGACAAGGAGCCTAGATGAGGTTATTTTATCTGTTCAATCACGTCTTGAAAACCTCCAGCAATGAGGACTATACCATGTCTGGGGGGAGTTTGCTCCAGTGATTATTTCTGGTGTTTTATACAGTTTGTCTCTATCCAGGATGGCATGAGACAGCCAGCAGCAAACTAGCAGATGGTAATACTCTATACTGTATTTCAGCTCTGCTCTCTGTTGCCATTGTTTTTGTTCGCAGCACTTGCTTTTTGGCTTCTGTGATCCAGGTTAGAGGCACCTTAGTAATTCAGTTACTAAAAATAATACGATATTTTTACCAATATATTGACTTCTGTCAATGCTTATGGAGAAACTCCAAAGAAACACGGGATATAGACCTTATAAGATATCAAGATAACAGTTTTATTGCATTTGTGCAATTTCAGTGCTTCTGTGCAATTTGATTTCAGCTTCAACTTAACTGTCAAGAGAGGGATCCTCCATCCTGCCCTTCTTTGTGAATGCTCTAGGAGCAGCAGAAAAGGAAAGGACAAATGTCTCAAACCCATAGAGTCAACTCACAGTCTGTTCACAGCCCACAGGATTCAGGGCTTAGCAGAGACTCCACCTAGAGCAGGAGGGCCATGCTAAAGGGGAGAGAGTGTGAAGCATACACCTTGCTGTTGCTGAGGTGCTGCCAATGGATAGGAAGAGTTTAAACAGGAGAGGATGAGCAACGGGAACAGTCCAAAACCCAAGGGGCTGTGTGTGCCAGTGCCACTGTGAGCAGTACCTGACAGTTGCTGCTTACGGCTACTCGGTTCAGTAACATCAAAGACAAGCTGGACAAACGACCAACATCAGCAGAGTTACTCAAGATTTGTAATGATGGAGCAAACTGGCATTTTGCCTAACATAAAGAGCTAGCTAAATGCATTGAAGCCGAAAATTGTCATCCATAGAAAAACTCAGCGGAGCAATTGGTTATTCCTTAGTCTCTTGGAGGGCAGTGTAGGTAACATGTACGTAATTGAAACAATCACCGTGTCGTGGTTAGGAAATACGCTGCTGGATGAGCCCTAAGAAGATAGTTGGGTTTCTCTGGTGAATAGTACTGAAATTTATGCACAAGTCATTTTTTATAACCATACTCCTTGCAGAAAACACAGCAGGAGTATTCAAAAGTATTAGCTGAGCCAGTGCTACGTACTTTTGCAAGTTTTATCTTCTACTGCAAGATCCACGTCTGTGGAAAGGTGACTACAGTCAGACAGTTCACTTGCAGCTGTACAGCAATTTGAAACCATGTCAAAGACCACTGTGAGTTTGTTTATCTTCATTTATTATTTTATTGGCTTAAAAAATTAAAAAGTCTAAAGGCTTTCCTAAGGAGTACAAATAGTATAATACATAGAAAAGACCTGAATGGAGCTTTAAAAATAGTTGTTAGATATCATCTGGATAAAATGAACATTTTATTTTGAAGAGTTGTTAATCTGACCCTTTGCAGCATAATTTGCTGTAAATAGCAATCAAATACTCTTTAAATTTATCTGTGGCATATTAATATACCTAGAGCAACACAAAAAATAGAATTTAATTAAAAGATTTAAAGTTCATGTTTTTACGTTTGCTCAGAGTCACTCCATAAAGTAGAGACCAGTCTTATGTTTATTTAAACCTGCAAAACTAACATTAATCTTGGTGATTTCTTTATAGTTGATAAATGAAAACAATCTTGACCCAGGTTTATATTTAGATAGATACTTTTCCATTGTGCTTCAAATGGGTTTTCTTTCAGAGATACGTACCCTAATAGTTACCCATGATAATTTAATTTTTAGAGATTAATTTATAATTGTGATTGTTTCTACAATATTCAGTTGCTCTCTTTAGTGCTTTAGTTGGTATCCTGAAGTTACTGGATTTCACATTATTTATTCTTAGACAACTGTACATGAATCCATAGCGACCAGGGAGAATGGGGCTGTGTTTAAATAAGATAAAAGGCAGCTGTTGCACTGCACTTATGTACCAAAGAACAAATAGAACATGCAGGAAGGGGAAGGACTGCTATAGAGAGATCTTACCATATTGGAGAAGGAAGCCAGTGGAAACTTTTTTTTCTATTGTGACTGATGATTGCGTCTTAGATAATTTGCTTCTCAGATGGCTGCCCACATGCTGTAGCTGTGCAGTTCTGTGACACTTGTGGGCAATTCTTAGGCTTCTTAAATGCTGATTATCTGGAAATTTACTGTCTAGTTTGAGCCAAAGTTTGTAAGAAAGCAGATACAGTCGAGCAATCTTCAGGGCAGGAGAGAGATGAAAAGGAAAGCGCAGAGGTCACCCGCAGGAGTGGCAGCGTATTCAGCAGTCAGTGGTGTTTCTCTGGCTCTGCACTGAGGACACAGTTGGACTCCGTGGCTCATGAGTTGTAAATTGCTTTCCCAGCAGTCACAGTGAACAGCAGCAGGTGTTTTTTAGAACATACTGATTTCTGTAACATAATAAAGAATAAAATTCTAAGGTGTCATATAGTCCATCAGGAGCTAATCAACAGCAAAATCAGATAACTGAGTGCATTTGGATAAATAGAAGAGGAACGAAACTTCAGTTAGGAAATTCACTTACCAGATGAGAAAAATTAATTTATCAATACACCCTGCTATAAAGCTAGGTCTAGGACTCTATTATTGTATTTATTGAAAATCCTTGTTCTCTTTTAGGCACGAAAACCAACTTTAAATAAGCAAAACTGAAGATCTTTATTGAAATTTGCTATAATATGAAAGATAGTCACAGAGGCTTTTAATGTACCTTTCAGTTACTCATAAGATAACCCTGTGTGCTTTATTTGTAAAAATACAGTACATGTCCAATAAACCTGCAGAGCTTCTTTGTAGTTACTGAAGGATGTGTTACTGAATTCTCAGGCAGCTGAAGTTAGTTAATTGTCACAAGGTTAGAAAAGTTCAGCACTTCATACAAATATCATACGCATTTTATACAAACTTCTTTCTAAGTCACCATTGTATTAATAATGCCAGCTTGGCACCTGTTTTACATTATCATGAAATAAGTTATCTTATTAATTTTTAAATTAACTAATCCAATTTAAATGGCTTATGTGTATCTCTTTCTTTCACATAGCCTTCTGAAACCTCACGTTTAGATCGCTCACTATAGATGAACTTATGTGCAGTTCAGAGCAAGGCATTCATCATGAAGCATGAAAAAATTCACTCTGGCAATTTGCAAAAGTTCTAAGTGACTACATTAAATGTCATACTGGACAGAGATGGACAGTCTTACTAATAATGCAATGCTATCAGTACCTTATAAATGAATGTATAGCAAAAGTAACTTCTGTGGATACATGTATATTGTCTAAAGACTGACTCAGTAAAGAACACAATATTTTAGTGCCTACCCTCTAAAATTACATTACTAACTACCGAAAATTGAGTTAAATTTATGGTTCCATTTATTCTCCAGTGCTAAGATCCACAGCTCCAGGTAACTGAGTGTACCACCAAAAACCGTACATAAATGTCAAGCATTTGGATGCAAATGCATGCAAACAAAAAGACCAAAGCATTACAGGTTGATACACGTGCTTGATTGGGCCGGCTAGACTGAAGAGAAGTATTTAACCTGTGTGAAAAGCGTTGTACAGAAATGAGCTCCCTGTTCCTAGAAGTTTATGGATGGATCCTTTATACTAATTATTTTTCACTGTGTTTCTTTAATCAGATTCCACAGCCAGGAACACTGAAACTCTCTCACATCCAGGAAGGCGCGTATATTTTCCAGCTAACTGTGACAGACACTGCAGGTCAGAGGAGCTCTGACAATGTCTCTGTGACCGTTTTGCCCATGGTTCATTCTGCAGCAGGTGAGAAATTGACTGGACCCGTTACCTGTGTGACAGCTGGGGTATGATATTCAGAGCAGGCATCTTGATGGAGGCAGAAACCTTATTCTCCAGTTCTAGTGCTTTATTTTGCCCTGGCTCATTACATAGTGACATCTCTTTCAGTTTTGAATTGCTGTTTCAAACTGAGGAAGCAAGCAAGCATCACTTATTTGTTGAAGCAATAATGCTTTCAAGCATTTAAATGTCCAGCTTTGTATTGCCAATAAGCATGCAGGGTTGGAAAAATGAAATGCCGCGGTATGTATCAGGCACATCATAACCCTTCATTGTATCGTTGGGATGGTGCGTGGAACGTGACAGGGCTTGTGTTATTGAGAAGACCCAGTTAAAAGCAGTTAATAGGAGGTGTGACACACAAACTAATAATAATACTGGCCTGCATCTGTAGTCTAAAAGATGGGATGGTTTCTTGTTTTCATGCATTTAAGCTTTTCTGAGTAATGTTTGTTATCAAAGCCTTATGTTACTGGGGAAATTGGAACTGGAATTGACCCATCATTTTAAAACTCCTAGCTCAAGAAACATGTAAAAAACATAAAGGGTAGAAAGCAAGTTAGATTTCAGTGGCTGTTAATTCTGCACTCTTTAATGTAATAAGTTCTAGTTACGTTGTAATTAGCAAGTTGCTAATAGGGATCTGGTGCTGTGGCACAAAGTAAAGGTTGAACTGGCATCATGACTGTGTTCAGCTGACCCAGTAAAAGCTTTGCTCTGCACCAGTGCAGTATCTCTGCATGAGAGGGTATTCCCAGTGGCAATATGCAGTTATGAGTCTGTCTAATAATGCCTGTGTTACAGTAATGGATGATAGACTTGTATTCATTAACTCAATTCAGCTAAAGCAGGCAGAGAGGTTTGCTGATTCATTTATTTATTTGCTGCTGTGGGTATCTGTGGCACGTTTTGGGTGGAGCATGTAGAGCATTTGCTGCCTTTTTTCTTCTTCTAATTCCCCAAGTCCCGTTTGCAATTCCAGTGCTACTGCTATAGTTAAACCAGTCCACGGTGCCTTAATGCATGCAAGGCTGGTGCTATTATTAGTGCTGAAGTTTAGGAGATACATTTTCTAACTGATTTTAAGGATTTTAAACAGGCACCTGTGTTCTGCCATACTTTCCTTAACATTGCTCAGCTTTTTGGTACATAGCGGGATAACAACCGAAGGCTGTGACTGGCTTATGCAAATCGATTTGCCATTACAACATTAAGCAAACATAGAATTTGATAGTGCTTAACAAAGCAATGAACTACACCGCTGTTGGAAGGACAGAAGCATGGATGTAACCGCTTGATAATTTCAAGGTCAGAATGGGTTTCAGGAAAGCTTTGATTATGAAAAATGAAATGTCCAGGGACACTCTCCATTTCCAGAACAATCTTAAATATTAAAACAGGCAGCAGTCAGTTCTTTCTGGTGAATGTCACTTGTGAGACCTTGTGCTTAGTCCTGCTCTGGCATGTGCTCTATTGGAGTAAATGGTGATGTAAATAAATGATGTGCATTCTTTTAGTATTTTAATTAGGTTGCAGAAAACATGTCATAGAAGATCCCATATGGTCCGTATGTAAGGTCCCATATGGTCCATGTTGTCAGAAATACAGAATGTAGTAGGAATTACATGTTGGAGAGATGTAGTTACAGCCACAGAGACTTCATTTATTTATTTTCAGGACTGTCCTGGGTTTTCTAAGCCTGGGAAGATCTCCTTTCAGCTTACGGCAGCAGATTTTAAAGTGCTGTAGAGGTGCTGCACAAGGCGTAAGGTGCAGCAGCCTCCAGGTTGAGTATTCCTGTAGTAAAGAGATTGACAGAATAGCAATGAGGGTGCCAGGAACAGCTATTAGCTATATTAGCTTCTGTGACAATGGAGTGTCATACAGCTGAGCCTGGCCTTTCTTCAACTTTCTGCCTTGCTCGTCATCCTTCTTGACATAGTGTGGTTTTGCTTTTTCCTTGGTGCTGCAGATTTTAGTCACTGGCTCAGTATTTACTGCTTGGATTTCTCTTTTGGTAATTTGGGAACTGTTTCTCCGCAGCCTGTGTTGGGGTTTGCTCTCGCTACCAGTTCATCTGTGATGATGGCTGCTGCATTGACATCACGTTTGCTTGCGATGGTGTCAGACAGTGCCCTGATGGATCGGATGAAACTTTCTGCCAGAACCGTAAGTGCACTGGGCCAGGGTGTAGATTGTGAAAGTAACCGCAGCCCGAATGACCAAAGGGAAATGATGCCCCTTCTGTGGCTGCTCTCTCCGTAAGCAAGCAGCTTGCATCCACCATAGAGCCTTTCACTGGAAATAGGACACGGGGAGGTTTAATGTCTGCGTAGAGCAGATACTCAGAAATAAACTCCCTTTTCTTCAAAGCATATCAAAACTGTCAAAGGTCCCCAAATAACAGATTTTGTGTTAGAGTTCTCAACACTTTAAAAATCAGTTCTTTACTTGCATGATGACTCTGGAAACAAGGACCCTGGTCTTGATCTGAAAGGGTGTCTCAGATGTATGCTTCAAAGTGCAGTTATGCACCTTGCAAGAATCTGAAACACTGGACATGTGAGCACGTAGGGGAACCAGTTGATTCACCATCTCTTTGTTCGTTTTCGTTAGTCATCCTCAATATGTGCCTATGCACAAAAGTCATCAGCAGGTAACTTGGCAGATGGCTAACCACTGTTTCATTGATATTTCAGTTGCTGCATTTCACTTTAGGGTTCACATGTGTACTCTTCCTTAAGAACTGACAGCGGGCAATTGTTAACTTGCTGTGTATCTGGAACTCACATTTTGTCGTGTGTCTGAACCTGATTAACTTGTTTAGCCTGCCTCCAGGCCCATAGCCCAGTGTCTTCCATCAGAACACTCCCATTCCCTTCAATTCTGTGTAAAAACTGTGATTTTTGTTTCTGTTAACACAGTCAGCCCGGGACGGAAGACAGTAACACATGCAGCTCTTGGCACTACCCAGCAAAGGACTGTAGGACTGACAGAAAACACAGATGAAAACTTCTCTGCAGAAGACACCCTGAAAGCCACTGCCAGAAATCAACCAGTTCTCTCAGTGGATGCAGACATGTCTAACCAATCGCTTTCTCAGGGACCAAAGAAACAAATCAGTGGATTTGTGCCAGGTAAGAACTGAAAGAAATCAGTTTCAATAAATCACTCTCTTTAAAGAAAGAAAATGTCTTGTCCCTTAAATTTTATTAAATTGTAGTTTGGTGCCTGGCTAAGAGTAAAAATTTGCAAATGTACAAAATACAAAAGAAGCTTGTAATAATTAAGTTACAACTAGGTGTTGCTTTATAAAGTCAAGTCTGGTGCAAAAAGAAAGTTAAAATGTAGAAATGCTAGGAAAAGAATACACTGCCTCGGTGAATGTGTAGGAACTGATAGCAAAATCCTCTCTCAAATGTTTCCCCCTTTTCTGGCAGTGTAGATGACCTTGGTGCTCCTTATTGGAATGACTTAAAATTCTGAAGTCTGTCCCAGACCCTTCTCACTTGCATAGTCCTGAGTGACACCTGATGCAGGGCCACCCAAACTAGACATCGAATTGCCAAAGGGCATTGCAGGCTCCAATGGAAAGTCAGCTGCTAAGTCTCAAAAACCATTGGGCTTGGGAATCCAGAAGTAAAACCAGAATTGAGGTCACTAACTTCAGTAACCTGTAATCAGAGGTTATAATTGGAAGTGCCTCTAAAGCATGGCACTTTTGCATAGTCATTTTCTGTGTTTACTCACTGCACAGTGACTTGCACCGTTTTTGCTCTCAAGGTAGCCTTTTGCACAGCAGTAGACAATAGAAGAAAAAAAACATTATAAAACTAAAAAAAACGTGATGGGGCTTCAGTGATTAGTGTACCACCAGAAGCTGTTGTAATATTTTTACTTTTAAACAGGCAATATTTTCAGCTGACCATGTCTGGTTTAAATTCCTGTGGTTTTAATATTGCTCTTTTGATAAGGCTGAGTCAGAATTTAATTTCAGTTAAATGATACTTAAGGATTTCCTTGTAGAACAGAAGGACCCAGTCCTTCCTGACCCAGGAGCCCAATATTTTTAACTAAAAAGGCAGCAAACCCTCCAGAGAGGGTGCATGTGGTGGGACATGAAGAGGTGCTAGGTACCTGGGTCCAAAGGACAACTGCCAAAATCTGCTGAGTTGCTGCCTTCTCATGTAGACACTTGACCTCCATAGGAGTCACATTGCTATACGTTGATGACTCCCAGAGGTCCAGAGGGGTTCAAGTCCTGCCCCACTGGCAAGCACCAAAGTCTGTATGGAGCTGAGGAGACAGGCATCTGACTTATTCCTAAAAATACACCCAGAGCCATTAATTAGATCTCTCTCCATCACTGTGTCTGGTTTTGGTTTTGACCCTGGCTAGCACCAAACACCACAACATGCTGCCATCTCGAGGTCACAGACCAAATCTAATAATTAGGTGCTACAAAAATGAGAGACACAGAAACACTGAAGCAGCTCCCTGAAGCCCACCTGGAAAAGTGTTCAGGAGGGCAATAATTGCTAGACCCATTTTTGAGGAGAGGTAAGCAGCACTGAACAGAAATCATACCAGCAGCCTCTAAAGATCAGCAATTCCACTGGCAGAAATTCTCTTCTGGCATGGACTGTCCCCTGAGACAGTGCCAAGGCAAAACCTGTGCTTCCAAGTCACACTGTAAAGGTCTTTGTTGGACCAAGATCATAATCTTGCTTGTTGACTTTGCAAGCATCCAGGCTCCTGATATACTATTACAAATAAATTTCAAAAATAAGCTTTCATTATTTTAACGTCAACATGGTGAAAAGCTGCCTACTTAAGATACATATGAAGGGATATGGTTCTACAGCAGCAGCACAGGTTCCAGCTTTCCACTTGAGAGCGCTCCATTCAGGGCTACATTTGTTGTACTTCTTAGTTGGCGTTTGCAGATTGTCATGGAAATGACCAAAAGCCAGGAAGGCAAACATGCTCTTAGATCCAGTGCCTGCAAGGCAGAGCAAGAGAAGGTGTTAATATTAAGGGTAATTTACCTACCAGAGACAGCATGTGGCACATTCTGTTGAGCTTTCAGCTGACTTTTAAAAAACAGAAGTTTTTCCCAAGATGTTGCAGGACTGGGGAGTTGCTTTGTTTTCTTTTTTACATTTGTCTTTATTACAGTGGTGGTTACAGTACCAATAAAGACAGGTCCCTTCTGCTCCCATGGGCAGCTTTCATCTCTGAGAAACTAGTAAGGGTGTCCCATAAAGGGACCTCCTTGTCAAGGACCACCATATTTATCTTTTCTCTATTTTAAAGGGAGCTAGGCTAAGCTGTACTATTTTGGGATGTGGGGTAGTTCCTTGCAGCAGGAGTATGAGCTTTCTGCCCATGAGGGGAAATTTGTCCCAGAATCCATTTTCTCCTAGCTTCTCTCTTCCCAGTTTCCCTTAACCTGCTTTCTTTACTCCCCATGTTTCTCTCTGACTTGATACAAGATATTTAAGGATTTGGGCTTTAGTGTGAAAATGTGAAAATGTGCAAGTCCAAGGGAAGGACTGCTTAAAACTTCTACCTGACCTGGCAGGGGATCTGTTCACAGTAAAGAGGGGGTAAAAAAAAAAAAGGCAAAAAAACCTAAAAGTCGTTAATTGTTGACAATGGATAACCTCTCAGGCACTCAGGGCATGAAGTCTTCTGCAACAGACTCATTATTTACTTCTGCCCAAGCTGGAAGGCCAAACATTTTCTTCTGTAGTTGGGAGTGGATGCAGGAAGAGGCATTTGATGTCAATGAAGGAGCCCTTTCCTTTTGCAGTCGTATCTGCAGAGTGAAGTAGCCCAGACTGCGGCTCCTCCAAAGGCCAGCACAGCACTGCTGCATGGCTGTCCCCAGAGTGCCCTGGCGTCCCTTTTCCAGGGAAGCTCTCAAGCCCAGCTGCACATTCTCACACTGCTGCACTTGTAAATGAATATACCAGAATACAGTTGCAGCAAAGCACGCTGGAGTGATCCATGGGCTGGTTTCAGCAGTAGCCAGTCTAGCCGCCACGGTTGTGCAGACAGGTTGAATTCACAAGCAGCTGAAGATTTGCACTCCCCAGCATAGCCAACTCAAGTGTATAAATCACCGTAACAGCTTTGCATTCCCCTGGCACGGGGTCTCTGCCTCTCCCCGGGCTGCCCGTGCCAGCTGTTGTGCAGTGCTGCTCAGGGCTGGGATTACAGCGTCTGACTGAGTGCCCAGGCCTTAGTCATGTTTTTGCTGTGGAGGCATCAACAGCAGTAGCCATAACCTAGATCTCTAGTTTAGGGTAACTGTAAGGGGCTATAAACTGCAATTTCCTGAGCACGGACTAGAAAATGAAGAGAAAGTGAAAACAAACAAAACCTCCAAAACATGCTTTATGTCAGGCTCCTCAGCCTGTTTTGGGAAATCTCTTTGTTTTCTAGTTGATAACAGATAAGATATTAACAAAACTCTACAAGCTTTATTGAAAAGATTCTGTTATTCTTCTACCCCTCCAAAATTTTCCTGCTAAACTTCTCTCCATGTTGAGATATATTTGCCAAATGTCTTTACAAGCAGTTGACTTAATTATTCCCTTTACTCAAATAGCAGGGAAACAAATATATAAAACAGACATTCAACTCCAGCCTTGTCGTATAGGCTGCAGCAACTCTAAGAAGAGCCGATGTCTTCGGGGTATTTCCAAAATAAAGACGTATCTTCATTTAATCTCATTTGGGGAAGACAGAAGCAGAAGACAGCTGCTGGTTTTGGTCTCAGTTGCATTCAGGTTATTTTGCACAGCTCTGATACCATACGGGTACCTTAAAGCTCGTACAGATTACCCTTAGATTTCCTTAAGTTCCCTTTACATGCTAGAATAACTTAAAGACCCCCGAATGAGAAGGAGGGCTGCAGCGTGTTCCTAAGGCATTTCCCAGCAGGTGCAGGTAGTGTTTATGCACCCCGAGCCGTAATGGCAGGGGGGGGAAGACAAGAGCTTGGGAGGCTGTGTCGTGCCTTACAGTGGGGACGTTAGCACTAGCCTCATGCCAGGGTCGATGAAACAATTTAAGCTGCAATGAATGGTCGTGTATTTGCTGCTGCCACTGACAGGGATGCGTGCTGCAGCACTGCAGAGCTGGTGGCGGTGGGTGGGAGGTGTGCGTGGTGCACGTCCCAAGCTAATTGACTTGAACACTTCCTTAACGCCCACCACTCTATGCCATGCCAATTACAGCGTTTCACATTCATGCTTTACAGATCTTGTAGCATAGCATGTTTCCATTGGCATCGTCACAGTTCTGAGGGCTGCCAGCAAATACATCACAGCGCAAAGTGCCCTTCAATATTTTCAGTAAAAACCAAGTATAGTCATTGCATTTAAAAACATGGGCATATTTCTGATTTTCACAAGGGTGTGTTAGTGGATTAAGCTGTCACTCTTGCACAAAGTGTCCCCATAGCTATTGGTGTAGGGCTTTTGTGGGAGGGCAGGAGGAGGGAGTCCCAGCTGAGTTACTCTTTGCTCCTGTGAAGCAAAACAGCAGCTGCCGGCACTCTCAAGATGAACGCTTCTTGGCAGCAAACTACACGTTGTCTCTTCTTGTGTACTTACAATGCTCTGCCGTATCTTCTGCACTACGCAAAGCTGAAGCGACTCCAAGGCATCCTCTTTTAAATGTTTTCCCCGTATGTTTTCATGTATTCCAAGTACGTAAGTTCTGCATCTGTATGTGTCAGGTAACAGGCAAAATTAAGGGAGTTTGTGTAGCCAACCTGTGCATTTCCCGCTTTACAAGTTCCAAAGGTGTAGATCAATGTAACTTGAAATGGCCTCATTTTCACCTATGTATAACTACTTTAGTAATGTTTTAGCTCAGATTGGTCTATGCCTCGTTACAGAAGTTTGTAAGAGAATTTGTAACCACCTTTTTTTTTTTTCAGTGGAAAATTACACGCTTGGGTTTGGTTGAGATGCATTGTGATTTGTGATGCAAAATTGAATTTACATTTTAGCTTTAGTTTCACATTATTTCAAAAATTCAAGTTATACAATAGGAGCCAGAAGCTCTTAAACTGCTTTTTTTTTTCTTCCTAAGTTTTAGCGCTTTCACAGTAATTAATTTTAACGTCCTGTGGATAAGACTTCCTGAGTCACTGAACTGCAGTATTCATTTATCCTGCTTGACTTTGTGCAGATAGCAGTTCCTCAGGGAAAAGAACAGGTGACAGAAGTGGGAATGGCATAATTGTGCCAAAGAGAAACCAGCTTGGAGGTGGTCATCCAGTCCCAGAAACAGGTAAGACCCACCATGTGAATTCATTTTGAATTATGTTAGCTTTTCAGTCAGGTGCAATAGATCCAGGTACTATAGTCAAGAATGGAATGATGTACTTCCATATTCTGAACTGTTCCTAACTTGTATGATCATTCAGTTTAGTTTCTCAGCATTAATTGCTCCAAATATTAGCACCTAAGTGATAGACTAGCTGTATTTCTAAAGAAAAATTTCAGGTTTCCCCACCAATTTCTCACTTATTAAATAAAATGTAATTTCTCTTAACCTTGTTGTAGGTGCTGTGTTACCCTTAGCCTTAGGCTTGGCCATCACTGCTTTACTGCTGCTTATGGTTGCTTGCAGACTGCGTTTAGTGAAACAGAAGCTTAAAAAAGCACGACCCATTACATCTGAAGAGTCTGATTACCTCATCAATGGGATGTATCTCTAAAAATTGGATTTAGGTCAGTTGTTTTCTCTCCTTTTTCCTGTGTCTGTGAACCTCTGCCTCTATAAAAGGACCAAAACCTTTAGTTAAGGTCCAAGTTAGAAGAAGCCTATGAGATGAGGAACATGTTCTTCCCCTTTGGTGGTAAAATTTTAAAAGTGTGTAGATGCCCATGCTCAGAAAAATAAGAAGTGTTCAGGCTCCAGAGAGTAGCTCCAGTTGGCTCTTGTGCAGAAGACGCTTCAAGGTGGTGACACCTCAAACTGGATGTGGGGTACCCTTGCCCTCCCCGCGGCAGTGAGGGTCCCGTCTGCGGCAGAGCGTGCCCTGGGGCCAGGACAGCGGGGCAGCCCCAGCCGGGCTGGCCGAGGTGTAGAGGGAAGCCCATGCCACCCTGCTCTTCTCAGAGCTGGCACCCACGTGCTCCGCTCTGGGGACCGGGATGCTCCAGACCAACGCATTACTTCACTGTCCAGCAGAGACTGATTTGTGTACTTTCCACCTGATGCACTGGGAGTATTTTCATTAAAGGATTTGTCTTGCTTTGTTAACTAAAAACAATCGCTAACTAAGCACCAGCTTTTGTAATGAAATTTGGGATTTAATGAACAAAGCATCTTTTTTGATTTGCAGTTAAACCTCTGTGCAGCTAACAGAGAGTCCTGCTTACTAAATGCTAAAATGAAAAAATACAAGTCCTCAGTGGTTGAATTTGGACTTACCAGTGCTCAGCAGCAGTCGTGTGTGATCCCAGAGCTTAGGGCTTGTTCAGCCTTTTCCACCCTTAGCTCAACACCCTCCACGGTGTGAGAGAGCAGCACGCAGCGGCTTTTACCGGAGACGCCGGAGTGATCTTGCTGGTTATCCTGTAGCTCTCTGCAAAGCTTGAAAGCTTCAGCAACCTGCCCCCACCCCAGCAAAACTCTCATAGAATTAGACCAAGTAATTGATACATGTGAGTTCAGATGTGTTAACAGTAAATTGTGTACAGTACATGTTATATATACATATATATATATACACACGCCGTGCTGTCTATCTTGTTTGACTGTCCAAGGATGCCACATTCATCACAGGTCCCAATAAAACCAGAGGCAGATGAGGCATGCATCTTTTTGTATGGCATCTTTTGTACTTCAGTAACTTCAAGTCAGCAAAAATATTGCCATGGTGTACAAACAGTTCTTCAAGTTGCTCATTCTTGATTACTTCTTGATTACTTAATGTAAAATAGCTCTAATAAACCTATTTTATTCTTACATTTCTTGCATTACCTTTATTTTCAGCTACCAGCTATATTTTGTGCTACAAGACCATAGCATGAGAGCAGACAAAAGTACATTTATCCCCTCTGTGAAACAGCCTTAAAAGAAGCTGGAACGTGTATGGTGAGGGGAGTTGTTGTAGGAAGACTAAGAACAGGGTGTCTACCCTCCATGACCTGTCTCTCAAGCAGTACTTGAGCTGAGCAGGACAGCAGTCACAGAGCTGGCTGTGCCAACCGCTCAGGGAATCCAGCTGCCCATGCTGCTTCCTCAGAGCCCTCCTGCTACGTTAGGCAAAGTCTGGTCATACATTGGGTCCAGGAGACCTTCTGCTGATGCTACCCATGTCTAGCTTGGGAGCATGGCCTCTCTTCCATCCCAGCCTACAGCAGACATGACAAATAGCACAAGACCCAAAAGACGACATTTTAAAACCGGCCTTCTAGGAAAGACATGCTGCCCATCTGGCTGGGGTATTATTTCCCATCATTGAAATTTGTTTGGGGTTCTAATCGAATACCTAATTCTTCTTCACCGTCTTACCATAGCACCAAGAAAAGCAGTCTTTCTTACTGTACTCAGAGGTCTCCTATTACTGAAACCCATTACTCCAGCACGCAGCCAGCAGGAGACCAAAAGTTTTGGTTTTGTGCTTCCAAGCAGGACAACAGCAAGATCCTGCATGGAGCACAAGCCAGCCAGTACAGCTGTGGTGTGAGAAGCTGCTCAGCTTTCTAGTCACTTTACCCAACAGGAGGCTTTGTTGCTGTGCTGCTGCAAGTGGAGTTGACCTTCATTGATTTGGCATATGACAGCCAAGAATAAACACCTCCAAGCAGAGCAGGAGTGAGAGCAGCAGACACTAGGCGTAGCACAGGAGTCTGGCTAGCACTATGTTATAGTTGCCACAGTCTTCCCAGGGACTGTTCTTTCTAAGAGGGGAGATGGTGACAGTTGCTGCTGTGCAGACCACCAGCCTGAGGCGTGGGACTTCTCCGGTAATTACAAACTCCACAGATGGATGGAAACAAAAAAAGTTTGCACCTTACCAGAAAGCCTGAGCATCATCAGCTAGATGAAGAGCAAGACAAAGTCAGCAGAATAACAGATTGGCTTGGCAGCTACTGCAATGAATACACACTGGTCTTGGTAACATGTGTTTTCATTTAATAGCTTTAATGCTGTTTGACTTTAAATAAAGTGATCCTGAAGTACTGAGCCAGAGCACCTCTGAGCACTAGCAGGAAAAGCTGTGCAGGACACCCTTGTGGACATGCCGGAGGTGCTACCCCCTTGTCCCCAGGCTGCTCCCAGCCGTGTCCTGCTGACACCCCCTCTGTAGCCCCTTCCCAGCCACTCCCAAAGTTGGGGCTCTCTCTCCGATCGCAAAGGAGGGCTCGGAGCAGACACTGCTCCTACTCCATCTCCATGGTCGCTCTGCTAACTGCTTTCATGGCTTCTCATGCGAACTTCAGCAGCTAGGGAGTTTTATCCAGTAAAAGCATAAAGAGGTTATGAGAGTTTTATAAGCATAGTGCAGCAGAAGTCAGATATCCTGTGTGGAAATCACCACTATCTGACACAGTCTGTCAGATCTGTTTTTCCTAAACACTGACATCTGTCTATCCACACAGCTGGGAATATGCTCAGCCCACCTATTTTTACTAGCAGCGTGCTTTAGACAGATGAGCGGAGTATTGATTGCTCTGATAGCATATACCTGTGGATACTACTTCTCTGTGTATTAGGGGAGATCATTACAATTTGTTTTGTCAGTGTATTTTAATGTTGATAAGTATTTATTTCAGGTCGCTGTTTATATTTTCAGTTGTTTTGCCCTTCAGACCAACTTACATACACTTAAGGGTACAAATTATTTCAAAGTAACAAGCAGTACTCCGACCTGAGTTTTATCCATAATCAGACGTCAGTTTTTTCCCGTTACGTGCATTGCTTTCTCCACACTTTTGCAGGGGATCCTAGCCTGAACATCCCCACTGTAGTCTTTCCATAGCACTGCAGGATTATAGCAGGGGTAGTTCCAAAAGCACATTTGCAAAACAAAAACGCTGAAATAGGTCAGTGTGATGCTCCATTTGCTTTTTAAATCCTAGATAAAGCATAAGAGTTTCAATCCCAAGCTCCGCAGGGTGAGTCAGCCGTAGGAACCAATAGCAACACAAACACGCCACCCCAAAACAAAGAGAGAGCCTTTCTGGTAAGCCCCAGCAGAATTCACAGTCATGCATCACTGAGGTCTGCGCTTGCTGCTTTCATGAGCATCATGGTTTCTAATGGCAAAAGCTAAAAGAATGAAAAGCAAAGGAAGAAGCTAGAAAAGATTCAGAAAGAGCGGATGGATGTGAAGACCAGACAGGCAACAAACACACAGTAATTATCACAAAAGAAAGGAGCCCATGAAACAATCCGCTTGACCTGGGTAAGAAAAAGGAAACATACTGTAAAGACGGAATATTTAGAGGAAAAAAATGTGTAGAGGTAACTTTGCTATATATTTTGCAACTAATAGGCACTTAAAACAAGTCAGAATGTAAGGCTACAAATACATTTGTACTACAACACAAACGCTGAATACTGCACTCTGCACTGGAGCGCTGAAACACAAACTAAGAGAAGCCTAGAAGGACTGGATCAGCACAAAAAGCCAGTTCAGAAACAAGTTTTTAAAGAGACCTGTGAGAATTTTCATTTTTGCATTGGTAAGGCTCCTGGCTGACAGTTATGAACCACTCATAAATCAACGGAAAGTGTATGTTGAGCAGGTTGAGAAAAACCAGACGAGGCAGGAAAGGTTCAGTGCAGTGAAGAACCGAGTGTCACAGCTTGCGAGGATGTCACCAGCTGCTCAGCCAACAGAAAGGTTTAACCCTGTTTTAAAGAGAGCAGAGCAAGAAATTTTAACATAGCTCTTCACAAGTACCAGATCCTAATGCACAGAAGTGATTAATTTAAGATATCTACATTCAAAACAAATGACTGAACAACAAAGAAACAGAGGGAGTGGGAAACCTGAATGGGTGCAGGACTGGAAAGGACTTGAAAGCAGGAGCACAGCGGGAACTTGGGACTATGGGGAAGGATCCCTGGAGGCTAATTCTGTGCACAAGAGAAGACTTGCCTGAGGCTGCCTCTATACCCAGAGGAGACAAACTTCTCCAGAGCTCTGAGCAGAGCACTAGCCCAGGCAGATGCTCTGAATCCCCCATTTCCCTAGGCAGAGGCCTCTGACAGCGTTCTCCCAGGCCATAAGGCACCTGAAACAAAAGTCACTGATTAACCTCAGGTGCCCTTTTTCCATTCTAGCAAAAAAAGGATTTATCAGAACATGGTAAACAAGATACTTGTTCATAATAAGGACACATAAGACGCAACTGTATGCCTGAACATGGCTGAAAAGAGGACTCCAGCTTCTCAATAGCTTCAGGGAACATTTTCAAGAATGTGTGGCAGGTCAGTTCCTCAGAAGCATATGATGAAAGTGGCTGGACTACAAAGAAACATGGAAAGATGAAAGAGATCTCGGAGAAAATCCATCAACAATCTTTATGAAAATAATCTGTTATATATATTAATATATAT